ATATGTATTTTATCTGCCACAACAGACAGTTGCCTCTGCTAGAGAGTTAGTTTTGAAGATGTTCAATATAAGCTCAGCCCACAGACATTACTAACTCTGGTGATTTAGACTGAATACATCTCACATTACCTACTTAAATTTTTAACATCAGACTTACGCAGAGGAACTAGTGCTACCCATGTGATTGTTTATTCCCAATTAAACATCAGAGAGGCCACCTGACATCCAGTAGAAAAGATAACTGTCTAATTTCATATATTATGGGTGGCCGTGCAGCCGGCTTTCTCACGGGAAGACAAAAAGTGCTACTCTAGGTGAATAACACAAAGCAAAAGGAATTTAATGGCCTTTTTTACCAAAGTGTTATGTGAAGATTTCACACATCTGCATAAATAGATTTAGAAACATTTCTGTATTAATACAAGAATGTGGAAACACATGGTATGTTTATATACCACACTAGTAAGTTTAATTGTTTTTAATGGTTTTAATGCCATTTTAAGTATTTCCTAAAATGTGCTTTCACCTGTAGTATATAATACATTGTTCTAGTATTATTAGATACCTATGCCATATTAGTATTAGAGCATAAATTACAGACATGTTTTATTATTAAAAATATTTTCTTTATAAACACTATATGATGAATACATAAACATAGCATTACAGTGTGGGGTATTTTTAAGTAGCTTTTGGATTATTAATACTATTATTCTTGACACATATACATGAATTATTTAACTTAAATTGCATACTGTTAATACTGTATGCAGCTTTTCTGTGTTGAGTAACCATTCATATTGTTTATATTACAGCTGTGGTAACTGCATCCAAAATTGTGACTACAACTTCACCAGGTATGATTGTCGTTCTGTAACAAGTATTGTTTATAACATGTATTTTAGGGGCAATCCTATAGAATATACACAAGGTGAATACTGTCCTATGAGATGGAATGATGGTTATCACAGTTGATGTACTTCTTTTGATTACTTGTGGTTATTTTAGTGATTGAATTATAAGGCATGCTATACATGTAATTATATGTGAAATTATAGGGGCTTTCCACCTCTGATGACTTGTATGCTGTTAATATTACCTTTATGGTGATTTGTACCCTGGCCTTTTAAAGGAAAAAGTTTTCATTCTTAACTGCCAAAAGATATAAAGTTAGACTATTATTGTTATTATCATACATATTTCTTGTTTTATTGTGTGTTTGAAGATCTGTATTTCTTTTACCAATAATTTTAAATCATATTTTTCTTTGTCACATTTTCTTCCTGTTATACAGAATTCTGTATTTAGTCCTCTTACTTTTCCATTTGTTAAACAGTATTCTTTATGTAGCTCTCTCACTCTTTCTGAAGTTAAACAGAATCATTTCCTGTCACTTCATTCTTAGTTAAATTAAATCTTTAAACAAAGTATCATATGGTGTAGCTAAAAAAAAAGCAAAATATAAGGAATGAATATGATAATAGACCACCGATAACATCAGTAAAGGAATTCTCTTCTATCTCCTGTGAGGTAGCCAGCTTCCTAATAAGGTATCAATACCTGTTGATACAACCCCTGGGATTGTCACCTAGTACTCAATTCAATAGAGTTTTGTACCAGTGCTTGCAACCTCTTTTTCAGTATACTGAATTTAGACTTGTCAATTTTCCTCCAGTTAACCAGAATCCTGAAACAAGTCTTGTCAACCATTAGGTTTACAGAACATCACCATAGCCCTATTGCCTTTCATTTAGCATTATAGTATTCTGTGTCCATTTTTTCCATTCAATGGCATCATTTCATAAAAATATGGGGGAAGGGGTGGGGAAAGCTTTGTCAGCACATGGAACATTCTCTTTACTGTACTTCCTTTATTTGATTTTGAAAAAAAACTAATCATCTTATGTGTGATCACATTATATTCTGCAAAGTCTTGGGAAGCAGGCCAAGGTTTGGAGGGAAATTGCCCCTTTTTGCAAATGATGGTGTTACCTTCCTTATCTTTACAGAATTTTTCTACAAACCCTATTAACTCTTGTTGACTTATACAGAATTCTGAAGCTAGCCATTTTTAGTTAAATGCTATTTTTTTAATTGTTTTTCATGTACTTTATGATCTACCATGGTTTAAAACAATTTTGCTAATTTCAGTACCCTTTGTCTCTTAAAAAAATTTGGCAATTGTAATGCAACAGTGGGAAATGTATTTATAAAGAATTATGTGCAAAATGACACACAAAGAGGGTGCTACAAATACATTCACTATAATAAAGTAAATGAATGATTATTAAGAAGTATTTTGAGCTTACTGATCTTAGTATCTTCAAAAATATAATTGATTTTGTCATAAGCAGTTTTTTCATCATTAACCCACAGCACATCCAACTTGGTTAACAATACATGAAATAAAGTTAAAAAATTATCTTTATTAAAATTAAATATTATTAGTTCTTAATGAAAAGTCTGTTTATATACTCTGTTCATAGTTGAAGCATCTGTGATTTGATTATTTATATAGTTATTTTATGTAAGGGAATACCAATGTAAGACCACTGTCTACTTTTAAATAGTATCTTAAACTTTACATAAATCTTTTCCAATAGAAAGTGTACATGATACTCTTGGTGAATAACCCAGTATTATAGACAACCAGGAGGAAAAGAACTTAGCTCTTTCCTTGATCACCATTATATAGTTAAAACTAAATATGCTTGTGTGCATGAAAATGTTATGTTGAATAATGGGATAGAAAACATGTAGTATGCTTGCGTACTGCAGTATAAGTTAGATGAATGGTATATAAATAAACATGAAATATTAAACTATATTGTGCAAATATGTATGCCTGTGTACTAATGTATATATTTAATGATGAAGTGTTTAGTCTAGTTATGTTTTGTGTTATCTTAATACTCATTAAGCATTTCTAGAGTGTTGATAGATCTAGTTTTAAATTTACTTACTTTAATTACATGCTTATTTAAGTAATTTTCTTTTTCTTTTATAAATTGTATATTTGTAATCATAATTGCTACTTTCTTTATTTCCAAAAATCATTTGAGGAATGTGAAATTGTTTTCATTCCCAGAAATTCATGAATGTGACTTTGACCAAGGAAATACTTGCAAGTTTAAGGATGTTAGTACTACTGCAGATAGTTGGAAAATTAACAAACTAGGAACTACTCTTCAGAACCTGCCTCGGTTTGACCATACAAAAGGGAACTATAAAGGTAGTTTTTTAAAGTAAAAGTATAGTAAATAGCTAGAAAGAATGGAAATTCAAATCAAAGAAAATTTTATATCGAAAAAAGACAATAAGTATATACTCATATTAATGTAAGAATTGAATTAATAGCTTATGTTTTAATATATTTTAATCCACTGTATATACTCATATTAAGGTAAGAATTGAATTAATAGCTTATGTTTTAATATATTTTAATCTACTGTACTTCAGTCACCTTTAGAAATAACTGAATGATTTAATTTTGAGCACAGTTAAGGAACATTTGTAATAACAAAGATGTAATATCATATTTGAAAAAAAGAGTCCACATAGGTCTTGTGACATTAGTATCAACATCTGTTGGTAGATAAACAAATTAAACTCAACATAGGGAAATCCTGTGAATTTGTTTTTGTTGTTGAGAGCAAGTGCTCACAAATATAATGACATGCAAACACATTTTTCAATTAATATTGATCATCATATTGTTGAAATTTGCCTATGTGAGATAATATGATACAGTGTGTAACAATTTCAGTTAGAATAAGCACACACTAATCTTATAGCACTTGAGTATGGTGTTAGTCAAATTAACGATTTACATAAAGCTAGAATAACTG